TGTATGCCTTAATTGCTCTTTTCTATCAAAACAGTTAGCACGCTGCAGACGTTATGCTACTGTTTTCATTTCTGGATCCAGATTTAAGTATTTATGAGCAATAGAGGCAAAAAATGTTGTCGACAACTATAATAGCTTTGTAAATATCTTTTATACACATGGCAATTTTGTATCAACCAAATATATGGCATTTCCCAAGATTATTTGAATTTGGTTATTCCGCTTTCCCAGTATTTTAGTTGTTTGGTGCACCTACAATTTTACTGGGGGTTTTCGCCTTCTAGACGAATATCTTCAGGATAAAATTTCTATATTTCTGGAGTGATGAAATTTCTATACTAGATCTAGTTTTGTAAATTCTTAAACCAATATATGCTTCTGGCATAATGATAGAGATGTTTAGTCCTAATTGGGAATTTTAACTCTTACGATATTTTCTATGGACTTAGTCACTCTTTAGGATTTCTAGCAGATAATTTGTTCAATGTCTGAACTTCTGGTTCTATAAGGCTAGTACATACGATTTTTATCAATTTCTCAGCATTTAATTAATTAGAAAATTTCAAATCTCCCCCTAATGCCGAGAAAAGATCTTATAATGCAACCAACATCACCGTTGATTTCTCATGATGGGATATAGCTAGAAGGGTTGCATACTAAAAACAATTGAACGCAGATAGGGAAATGCATCATGTACTAGCGTATGTGATATGTAGTGGATCAGGATATTCAATTTTTGAAGGTCCCCAAAAAGAATATTTCCTCCAAAAATGCTTAATTTGCTTTCCGAAAAAAATGCCGTAAATAATATGAGCAATAATATGTCCTGCATGCATGGAGCTAACACCTCATAGTATGTTGATGAAATTAGACACCAAACAAAAAACTTGTCGAATTTTCACTTCTCGTGAAATAGTAGCCCCAACTCTCATAATATAATCCCGCTCCATATCATTTAAAATTTACTTGGCAGTAATATAATTATTCCTTACAGCCTTGGCAGAAATATTAAAAGCAATTTAAAGTATGACCATTAGCATTTAGCCATAGCATACAGATCGCGAAGCAATAATTTGTTTGGCAAGTGGTTTATATATGCACCATCGGGAAGATATATATGGATAAGCAATATATATTGATTTTGATGGCAATTTATAAGGACAATGAAACATAATTATTGGGTGAGTTACACCAATTCCCATGAATTCACAACCAATTAACCATAAATAATAATAAAACTTGGTTAGTAAGCAAGAAACGCTATAGGGCTAGCTCAGAAGAGACCGTATCATCTTCTTTAAATCAAGGCAGTGATCCAATATTAATGACTAGCGATGAATCGCAACTGTTTGATGATGTTGCAAATTATCAAGATCATCCGGGGGCATGCTTATTAGATAACATATATGATATACCTATTTGGCCCAATATGCTTATTGCATAAACAGAATAAGAAAAAATGTATGATATAATATAATATTATCATTATTTGATTTCGAAAACATGCAATTAATCTTTATATGCAAAGTATGGCTATTTGTGCCAAAAATAAATGCATACATTCATGTTTCATAATTGATTAAAAATGAATCAATTAGAATCATCATGAACCACTTAGATGCGTACAGAAGCAGCAGTAGAAGTAAAAAAAATCACAGAACTGAAATTGGATGCTTAGTAGCAATCCCCTACTATACCAAAGATAGTGTCTATAAATCAATCAGTAGCATAGAAAAATAAACTAGAGGTACTGGAATAGCTATAGACACATTATTTCAGTTTTCACCATTCCCCGTAGCATCATAGAGCATAGCAACTTTAACAGTTTGGTTCCACCCAAAACAAACAAGAAAATTGATATTTACTAGTAGTTTTAATTATCTTCTGGACATACAACTACTGGCGTATCATCATTCATGCTCAGAAAACAAACAAAAATGATCATAGATAAACAGAGAGAGAAAATGTTTGCCTGAGATCTGTTCATTGAGGCCTCTGTTTGCAAGATTCACATTCTACTTCACTAGAATTGTTGCTATTTACGGACAGCATGGATATCGATCTACCGCCGAAGTCGATCGGACATTTTTAGTTCAATCGCCGATCACTCAAAGACAAATTCAGGTTTGAAGGAGCAAGAATCCATCAATTGTTAACGCCACCGCCCGCGCCTTCGCTACAGGGATACACCGCCTACTGTAACCGCCGGGCGTCGACGTCTTCCCTTCTCCGATGCAAACACAGGAACCACACTGCTTTAGATCTGAACTCTTAAAAAAATGCTCAGTAATGGCTAGATTGTAAGTGGGTTGATGAAATATTGAGTAATTATTGCATCTATGCTTAGAATTAGACACAGTAGATGAGATTTATCGACACAAAAAAAACTAAAGACAAATTAAAACACCAAACAGTATCCCTAAGCAGATTCTCGTCGTATTCAAGCACAGATCCGCCATCGAGCAGGGCTGATCGTTGACTCCAAACCGTGTCTCAATCGCCAAAGCAGATATTAGTGATATTTGTTGAAAATAACGGATGGTTGAAAAATCATATCACCGTAAAAAGAATGAAAGAATATATATTTATGCGATGCGATTTTAGACAACCCAAAAAAAATGTATAAAATTACTATTCACCGTTCACCGTGGTTGAGCGGCTGATAACGTGTTGTAATGTTGTTGTGTTGGCCTTTAGCTCTTAACCGGTGATTGCTGGATTGGATTACAATGTAAAGATAAAAGTGAAGTGAATGTAGAACAATAGACAAGGAGAGCCAAGACAAGGAATTCTTATTCAACCATCTCTATCTTCCATACAACCATAACACATCTATATATAATATACAAATGTAACGGAAGACATAATGCAGCCATTAATCACTTAACCGTTACATAATCAATACTAATAATGGCCACAATAAAAACATATTTATAACAAAAATTAAATATTAGATGAATTATTCAAAATCATGGTTCCGAAACAACAAATTAATATCATTTCAAGAATTTAATGAACTCAAGGCTGACTCCCTGTTTGATAAGTGGGATAATGCTTTTGACTTTCTCAGATTGGTGGGGATTCTTAGGGGTTGTTTACTAAAATGGAAAATTTGAGAACTTTTCAGAAAAACAGAAAAATAGAGAAGTGAAAATATAAAAATTGAAAAACTTTTTTATTAAATCTATTTCTCCAATTTTGTTTTCTATCTCCAATTCTTCTGTTTATGTACAATTTTGAAGAATGCAAAATCAGTGTTCTCCATTTGGAGAAATGATTATTTTTTCCCTTCTTTGTTCCTTGTTTACTTCTTCTTTCATTCTTGTTTTTTCCCTTCTTCGTCCATTGTTTGTTCAATTGTTCCATATTCTTCTTTCTCTCATTTTTTCCCCTTTCTTAGTCCTTCTTCTTTTTTTTTTTTTTTTTTTTTTTTTTTTTCCCTTATCTTTTCATTATTATTATTATTATTATTATTATTATTATTATTATTATTATTATTATTATTATTATTATTATTATTATTATTATTATTATTATTATTATTATTATTGTTATTATTATTATTACTACTACTACTACTAATTCACCCGCGCGATGCACGGAGAAAAAATTATGTTATTATAAATATAAATAAAAAATAGAAAAAATAAAAATATTTTAAATTGTTTAATATAATAATATTTTTTTGAGCTTCCATTGTTCAAGTATTTATTATTTTTATAGAATACAAAATTACAATTAAAATTTTGTATGGTTAATATAATCTCTACTTAGGTACATATTCAAATAAACTTATAGAGAGAATTTACATAATTACATTGATTTATTCTTAATTGTATTTCATCTATATTATAATTTTCACAATATGAATAATAACTAAGATAATTACATTTAGAAAGCAAATTTCAAATTTTGTATGAGTAAATTTAAATTCTAATTGAACACAGTTTTTTATATGATTATATAATATATTCTTTATGCACATGCATGTCATTCCATAAACCCAGATGTCATTCTATAAGCCCAAGACCACTTTTTGTGGAGATAATCCAAATGGATTTTTTTTTTCTTTTAAAAGTCGTAAGTTTAGAAATCCAGAAAAAACATTAAAGACCCATACGATATATACATTTATATATTTAAATTTTTATTTATAGCTCAAATAATTTTTTTTTTTTTAATTCTGAAGTCCAATAATTGACTCACGGCCCGCAGCATTTGCTTTCTCCATCCCTTCTTGCTTTTGCCATTTCTTTGAAGCATTTGAGAAGATAGAAAAGTCCACTCCACAATCTGTACCTGTAGAAGGTGGTTCCTTAATTTCTGGCTCCATTTTTTCTACCACTTTCCATGATTCTTCTCATTTGTTTACTCCTTTTTTTTTGGTAGGTGTGATTGTTAGAGCCTCCTCTACATTCTACCGTCGTTTGTCTCCTCCGCTGCCATGGCCATGAAAATACACAAATGGTAGGACAAATTGCCGCAGTTTACGTTCACCTGGATTTGATCTGGGGTGTTTTATAGGAAAAAAATTATATGTAGAGGCTTGCATTAATTGCATTGTTTCGGATATCGAATAGTATGATTGTAATCTGTTTATGGTAGATTGACAATAGGGAAAGATAACAATATAAATATACACATGTTATCCCTAACTATTAGGCTAATTGACTAATCTATTTAGACTAATTGACTAGGCTAATAAAGGACTACATAATATAGCTAATCATACCATGAATACAAATATATATATATCTTAATACACCCCCTCAAGCTAAAGTTTGAGGGCTACAACATTAAACTTGTCGCGAAGAGCCGTAAAACGTGGAGCCGGAAGCGGCTTGGTGAAGATATCGGCTAGCTGATCCTTCGTGGACACAAAATTGACTAGAAAATCCCCTGCAGCAACCTTGTCACGAACAAAGTGAAAATCAATTTCCACATGCTTCGTCCGGGCGTGGAAAACAGGATTAGCGCAAAGATAAGTGGCACCGAGATTGTCACACCAAAGAGTCGGTGGGGCGACTGGATGCAAGGTGTAGCTCACGAAGGAGAGAGACAACCCAGGTAACTTCAGCGGCTACATCGGTAAGCCCTTTGTATTCGGCCTCAGTAGATGAGTGAGTAACGGTGCGTTGCTTGCGGGAGACCCAGGAAACTAAATTGTCACCGAGAAAAACAGCATAGCTGTTAGTGGATTTGCGATCAACGGGACACCCCGCCCAGTCGGAGTCGGAGTAGGCATGAATAGCAGAAGAGGACGAACGTGAAAAACGCAGTCCGTAATGTAAGGTGCCTTTAACGTAGCGTAATACACGTTTCAAAAGACCCCAATGTTCAACTGTGGGTGCATGCATAAACTGACATAGCTTGTTGACCGCATAGAAAAGATCGGGGCGTGTAATAGTGAGATATTGCAAAGCACCCGCCAAACGCCGATATTGAGTGGGATTGTCATACACCTCATCAGACGGAGTAACGGCCTTTGTTGTAGAAGCGGGAGTGGAAAGTGGCTTGCAGTCAACCATACCTGCACGGTTAAGGAGATCACCCATGTACCGTCGTTGAGAAAGCAATAGATTCCCGTCCACAAATAGAGTTTCAATGCCGAGAAAGAAAGTCGGTTTGCCCGGATCCCGGATTTTGAATACAGCTGCAAGGAGAAATAGAGGATAGAGTCTATAATAGCAGGATTATTCCCCATCATAAGGATATCGTCGACATAGACAAGGAGAAACACCACGGCTGTACCAGCGGAGTAGTAAAAAAGAGAGACATCGGTCCGTGATGCTGAGAATCCTACACTAAGCAAAAAATCATGAAGACGCTTGAACCAGGCACGTGGTGCCTGTTTCAAGCCATACAAAGAACGGCGGAGGTGACAGACATGATCAGGATGAGCAGGCTCTTCATATCCTGGTGGCTGCCGCATGTAGACAGTTTCAGCCAAGCGCCCATTCAAGAAGGCATTGTGGACATCTAATTGTCGCACAGTCTAGTCACGGGACACCGCATAAGAAAATAGAAGGCGAACTATTGTCGGCTTCACAACCGGACTGAAGGTATCAAAAAAGTCTTCCCCTGGCACCTGGTTAAAGCCCTTGGCCACTAGACGGGCTTTATAGCGGTCAATGGACCCATCAGCTTTCCTCTTGGTGCGGTATACCCACTTACAACCAATAACATTCATGCCGGGTTTAGCAGGAACAAGATCCCAAAATTTGTTGTGGAGCAAAGCATTAAACTCCTGGTCCATAGCATCCCGCCATTGAGGATGGACCACAACCTGGGTATAACAGGTAGGATCGGTAGCAGCGGTGTGCGTGATGAGAGCATGGAATTGCTCATCAGTCCCTCGCGTCATGCGGCGTAGACGCATTACATGACCTTGGGCTGTGGGAGCTACCACCCTGCGTCGTTTAGGTGCTCGAGCACGTGAAACAGCTTGAGGCGCAACAACTGGGACGGATGCCAAAGGAGGTACATGCCCAATATTTGGCACAATTGGACTGGACCCCCATGGTTTGTCCAATATAGGACCTTGCATGTGTGCCTGCGAACCAGATTCTGTAGAAAAAGGAAAAACAGATTCGTCAAACCACACATGGTGACAGATAAAAGTCTTTCCAGTAGAAAGGTTTAAACAAAGATATCCCTTAAAAGACGTAGGATAACCTAAGAATACACAAGGAGCAGACCGATACTCAATTTTGTGGCGATTATATGGACGAAGGTAAGGGAAGCATAGACACCCAAAAACTCGAAGAAACGTGTATGTGGGCGGCTTTTTATAGATAATGGAATAGGGAGTGTTAAATTGAATAGCGGACGATGGAAGACGATTTATGAGGTAAGTGGCCGTTTCAAAAGCGGAATCCCAATTCTTTAAGGGAACGGACCCTTTGGCTAAGAGTGCAAGGCCGGTCTCGACAATGTGTCGATGGCGACGCTCCACACGACCATTTTGCTCGTAGGTATAAGCACAGGATTGCCTGTGAACAATCCCGAGAGTGTCAAATAAGGTATGCAAGTATGCAACCGACGATACTCGCCCCCTAAGTCAGACTGAATGGCCTTGATAGAACGGGAAAACAACCGCTCTACCATGGCCCGAAAAATGTCAAACACTTTATATATATCAGTTTTTACACGAAGAGGATAAAACCAACAGAAACGACTATAATCATCTACGAATAATAAGAAATAGCGAAAACCATCAGCAGAAATAACGGGGGCAGGACCCCAAATGTTTGAGTACACTAGATCTAAAACAGCATGACTAGTGTAATTTATTCTAGCTAAAGGAAGGCGACTAGATTTGCCCAACTGACATGCCGAGCAAAGACCTGGTGGACCAGATTTGTGTGATGTAACTGGACAGGACTTGAGCGCATGTTGGAGGACACGAGCATGCGGGTGGCCTAGACGACAATGCCAAATAGCAGACGTGGTCCGAGCTGACAGAAACGCCAAGTGAGACCGTGGGACAGTTAAGGAGTACAGACCACCCACACTGGGACCCTTAAGCAGCACCCCCTTGGTTATGCAGTCCTTCACAACAACGTAAGTTGGGTGAAACTCAAAAAAGACATTATTGTAAGTGGCAAACCGATTAACAGATAATAAAGACACCGATAAACTAGGCACATGCAATAGATTTGACACTTTTAGAGATTTAGAAACCGATGGAATCGTTGCACAACCTACACTAGAAATACTCAAACCTGTACCGTTACCAACACGGAGGACATCATTGCCAGAGTAATCCTCGGAGTGTGACATCATGGTGGGATCGGGAGTTGCATGGGAACTTGCGCCGGTGTCGGGAAACCATGCCGCGGCGTCCTGCGGTGGTCCGACGTCCTGGCTTACTGCCAAGTTGGCCTGCGGCGGTGGGGGTTGATCGGTGTATCGCCGGAAGCAAAAAATGGCGGTATACCCGTGCGAACGACAAATCTGACAGCGAGGGGAGCCACCCCGTCCGCGACCATTTCCACCACGGCCACGTCCCTGCCACTGTCCTCCACGATTTCTGCCACGAGTCTGCCGGCCCCCATTCTGCCGGTTCGCGATCATCGCCGTCGGTTGTCCAGCAGCCATACCCGGCGAGAAATCATCGGAGTGGATGAAGGCTTGAGCTTGAAGATAATCAGAAAGTTGAGACAAGAGTTACGGATTATTGGAAACAGCCAAGGTGGACGCCATCGCGCGGAACTCCTGCCGGAGACCCCTAAAAACGTACAAGTTCTGTTCATCAAGCGACATAGGCCGGCGGCTTGCGCGAGGTCATCAACAAGCAACTGGGCACGGCCAAGATATTCGGCTGGAGTTTGGTCACCTTGCCGGAGTGACTGGAATTAACGAGAATATTCAGACAACGCACGCGGGTTGCCGAGCCAAGCGCCGTCTCAATGGAACACCAGACTTCCCTTGCGGTGGAGCGGCCAACTGCTAGGTACATGACCTCCTCGGAGAGAGAAGAGATCAACAAGGATAAGATCGACTGATATTGCTGAATCCAGGTGGAGAACGCTGGGTTGACTGCCATGGACGCTGCTTCGTCGGAGGTATTGCCGGCGGCAGCAGGCAGGACGGCAAGCATCGCCGGTGGACACGGCGTTCCTCCATCTACGTAGCCTAGCAATCCTTGACCCCGGAGGAATGGGATGAGCTGCGTACGCCAAAAAAGATAATTCCGTGTCGTCAATTTTATTGACACGAAATGATGAGCGGAGGTGAGATGGTTGGGCGCGATGGTTGCAGGCGGAGCAGTGGTGGCGGCACTCATGGTGTGCTCGGACGAGTTCGTAGCCATGGATGAACGGGGAGAAGAAACTGATGAACGGGGAGAGAAAAACAAGTTCCTAACGCTTATCTGATACCATATGATTGTAATCTGTTTATGGTAGATTGACAATAGGGAAAGATAACAATATAAATATACACATGTTATCCCTAACTATTAGGCTAATTGACTAATCTATTTAGACTAATTGACTAGGCTAATAAAGGACTACCTAATATAGCTAATCATACCATGAATACAAATATATATCTTAATAAATAGGCTATTATCAAAAATTTAATTAATATTGTAATCCCAAGAAGCACCATAAATAACAAAAGCATATCAAATAGACTTTCATTGTAAAACCAGAGATTTAATTGATATTGCATCGTTTCATATATTCTATTAATCGGGAATCGGAATCCTTAATCATAATATCATAACATTTAATAACTCCATTAATTCAATAAATGTAATCCTTTGTTATGGACGAGAAAAAAATAGCTATTTTATTTTTCAAATGTTGTGTTTTTTTTTTTAATAGTAAAGGATGTTGTGGCTATTTTATAATAATAAGGATAGAGATAATAATTGTAACAATAATTGCTCACCAAAATAATAATTGTAACATTAATTACTTCCCAAACCATATAGCTTTATTATAGTTAAGATTATTATTATTTGGATTAAAGGAAAGGTGAACACCCAAATTACAAAAGAGAGTTGTCCATTTGGCGAAGAATAGGAAAACCAAACTTGTCATTATTAGGACTATATTATTCGTGTTAGACTAGGATTCTATCTAGTATCTATATATATGCTCTCTGTACTCTTTGACATTATCATTGAATACAACACAATCTATATATTCTCATCTGGTATCAGTTTCCAGGTTTTCTCTCATGGAGCTAGGGTTCTGGCTTGACAAGTTTGGGCGGTGCGATTATTAATCTTCTACCGCCATGCAAATTATTAATCTTGTTCCACTAGATCAAATCATTCTGTGGTGATCATATGGCTCCAGAACAATCAAGGAAGCAATGCCACCACCATAGCAATAGTAAGCATGTCGTCCGTGGAGTTACCACGGAACTCGTGGAAGAAGTCGACAATCAATGTGGCGGCGGTAATCTTAATTGCCGTGGAAGCTGGCACCGTAGCGATGGTAGTGGCAGTCTGCACCTAGGTCAGCAACATGACGGACGTGACTTTAATGAACCGTGTCAAATTTGTAAAGGTTTCGGTCACACGGGAGCTAATTGTTTATGACGCTATGATGAACCGTGTCAAATTTGTAAAGGTTTCGGTCACATGGGAGTCAATTGTTTTTGGCGCTATGATGATCCATGTCAAATTTGTAAATGTTTCGGTCACACGGGAGCCAATTGTTTTCGGCGTTATTCAGGGGCTCCGGGTTCTCAGCGTTTTTCACCCTCCCCGACTCCTTAGGTGAATGTAGCCATTTCTGGTGATGACTCGGGTGGTCCACATGAGTGGTTTCCTAATACTGGTGCTACCAACCATGCTACGCCTGATCCTTCTTTGTTGACCTCTGCGACGGATTATGATGGCCCTGAGACTCTTCGTGTTGTCACTTGGCAGTGGTACATGTTTGCCTATTGTTAATGTTGGTTCAGCTTCTTTAGCCACTAATTCTAGGTCTTTAAGTTAAATGATGTTTTGCATGTTCCTGATCTTTCTAGTTCATTATTATCTGTCCAGCGTTTTGCCAAAGATAATAATGTTTTCTTTGAGTTTCACCCACTTTGTTTCTTTGTGAAAGACATTTTGACCAAGAAAGTCCTATTTAAAGGGCATGCATCTGGTGGCATGTACTCCTGGCCTGCGTCCTCTCCTGCTCCAGCTGCATTCGTTGCTGCGCGTTCCTCTTTTATCTGGCATATGCGGTTGGGGCATCTGCATTCTAGAGTCTTACGTAAAATTTTGGAGTCTTTGTCTATTAGTCATTTTAATTCTAAAGATATTCCCAATGTTTGTTCTTCTTGTCAATTGGGAAAATCATCTCATTTTCTATTATCTCGTGTTGAAACTACTAGTACGCATCCTTTAGAATTAATATGTTATGATATTTGGTGCCCTGCACCGTTACTTTTTGCAAATAGCTTCAAATATTTTGTATTGTTTGTGGATGATTATACTCGTTACATGTGGTATTATCCAATGCGTGCTAAATTTGAATTATATGGCATATTTGACAAGTTTCGGTCACTAGTTGAACGTTCCTTTTCTTGCAAGATTATTTCTTTTCAGTCTGATTTAGGGGGAGAATATAAAAAGCTTGGTTCCACGCTTGCTTCTCTGGATATTCGTCACAGGCAATCGTGTGCGTATACCAACGAGCAAAATGGTCGGGTAGAGCGTAGGCACCGTCATGTTGTTGAGACGGGTCTATCTTTAATTGCTCAAGCATTTGTTCCGTCTCGTTTTTGGGACTACGCGTTTGAGATCACTGTCTACCTTATCCACAAAATGCCTACTCGTGTCTTATTTGATGAAACACCACACTTTTGCCTACACTGATCTCCTCCGTCCTACTCTTACTTGCGCATTTTTGGTTGTCTGTGATTTCCTGTGTTTCTTCCATATAATCGCAATAAACTTCAGTTTCGCTCATCTCCGTGTGTTTTTCTTGGTTATCCTCCGTCCTATCGTGGCTATCATTGTTTAGATACTAACACTAACAAGGTTTTATCTGTCGCCATGTGCGATTCGATGAGACTGTTTTTCCGTTTGTTGCTCCTATTTCTTCAAAGGTGCCTCAGCCGTGTCCTGAACCATGGGGTGTTGCGGAAGTTCGGATTCTAGATCGCGGTGTCTCGGATGATGTTTTGGCCGGCGATGAGTACACTGTCGAGGCTGCCACGGGAGGTGCCGAGCAGTCCAAGTCCACTGAACGGACTGTCTCAAGCCTGCAAGGTGCGTGTGGTAACCGTGTGGTAACCGCCTTCCCTTTCCCCTCTAACTTCTCCCTCAAGTCGCGTACTTCTTGAGCTAGGTCGGTGACTTCCTCTTGAACTTGGACTTGCCTGACCAGTGATTCAGCGCTAATTTCCTGCACCGAACATTCTTCCACCCATTTGTGAGTTTCACACCTTCGTTCTGGCTTATTTCTAGGCTCTCGTGGTTCTCCATCTTCTCTCTATGTTCTCCCGTTATTCTAAATAGCCGCCTGATGTACGACCCGGTTGCCTTGCCCGTCACAGGCCGATCGATTGGTCGCCTCATGGCCAAACCTTGATTGAGCAGGGGAGCAGTGGGAAGTCAAAGGTCTTTCCTCACGCTCCACTGGTCCAGTAGAATGAGGTGGCTGGACTCTAGTTGTTTGTCGGACAGGAGGGGGGCTGCGTGTTTGCCTGGCGGGCAGTCGCCGCTTGCTCTTACCTCTAACGCTCGTATAAGTTTAACATTCGATTCATTACCTCCACGGTGGTCGGGGCAACTGGTGCAGGTGGCAGAGGCACTAGTGGCGCGTCGGCGACTCACTATCCGTTGGGTAGCGGTGCATTTGAACGCGTATAATCGGTTTGCTCACGAGAGTTCGGGTGGCTGAGCTGTTCTCGCAAGTCTCACCCCTATGATGCACGGCTCTAGCCACCGAAAGTTGACAAGAGCTGCGTTCTCCTCGTTTTTGCCATGGGATTCTGCTCTGTGTATCGGTCCCCACAGAAGGCGCCAATGTTGGTTTTATTGACCACCGGAGCAGTCAAACGACAGGCCACCACAACCGAAAAAAATTAAGAGACAAAGGTTGTCGGAAAAGTGCTCTTTATTGCTCTGTGTATGTGTTTAAAAGCTTAACCTTTTTCAAGGTGTTCTAGGCCTATTTATACAAGAAATAAAGGACCTAAATTAGGTAACCCTAATCTGTCATAAATACAATTGATCTTCAATTCTTTCCTTATAGTCTCCAGATTTCCCTCCGCCTTCTGCAAGATCTGCTCCCCAAATCTCCTCTGGGTATGTACGACCACATCTTCAGCATTTGTTCGAGTTTTCCCTAGAGTCGACAAATCTTCCATCCTACTGACTGAGCCATTTAGATGTCCCTTCACCCACCCATATTACCGAGTGCGACTCTTTTAACCATTCGGTTTCCTGCCCTTCTCCGAGCGTGTCTTCTCTTATTCGGTACTCCGCCTAGGCATTTACCCTCGGGGGGCTCCGATCCTCAGCCGCTCTACTGGCTGCTTGTATCTCCCGTCTGGTTCTCAACTAACTTAGGGATGGCAACGGGGCGGGGCAGGGGTGGGAGTATACTCCCCGTCCTTGTCCCCATCCTCATCCCCGCCGGGGAATTGAAAATAGTCCCATCCCCGTCCCCGCGGGAATGGAAATTCTTCAGTCAATTCTTAGTCAAAATTTTAAATTAGTGTAATTTTTAATTTTAAAAATTAAGGTTTTAATTTTAAAATATATATATATATATATATATATATATATATATATATATATATATATATATATATATATATATATATATATATATATATATATATATTTATTTATTTATTTATTTATTTATTTATTTATATATCGCAATGTTGCAAAAATCGCACCTAAGCGCTAGGCGCCGCCCGACCATGGCGAGGAAGGCCAGAATCGGCATCCTCCGCGGCCGGGCGGCTAGGCGGTCTAGGCATCTGCATAGCGGGCTGAATCGTTCGTATTTTTTATTTTTTTTATTTTTTTTAAGGTTTAGGGTTTAGAAACTTTGTCAAGCATAACTTTTGACTTGGTTGTCCGTTTTGGACAAAAAAAATTTCAAGGTGGTTTTCCCTACCAATTTCTCAAAATAATGCTTCTTTTGCTCTTAATTTTTTTTTTTTTAATGTATTTAGATGGTTTAAACAATATTTTGAACAATTTTACAACCACCACTTACGTAAATATTTTGTAAGAAATAACTATGGGAACCTTATGTTTTATTAGTGAATTTTATAATTTTTAGTTTAATTTTTTTAAAAAAATAAAAAATAAAAAATAAAAAGTAATTGGACGCGTAATATATTTTGCAACCTTGATATATATATATATATATATATATATATATATATATATATATATATATATATATATATATATATATATATATATATATATATATATACACACACATATAGGAAAAAGATCAAATGCGGCGAGGGCTTTAGGTGCGGTGGTGCGGTGGAATTTCAAAATACACCAACAGTGTAAGAGAAACCTACCACAATGAAATGTAAAAAAGCACCAAAAAATATACAACAGACCCAAGAAAATACACAATATAACTCACCACCTCCAATGGTGTATTTTCGAACACTGTATGGTGTTTTTAATCACACCTAATGGTGTGTTTTTGGTGATGCGTACCTAATTTGTGTGTGTTTTTGTGGTGTATTTTCCTAATGTTGATGGTGTATATTTGTTGAACTATTGGTGACGCCGCACCGCCGAACCGTAAGACACCGCCGCACTTGAACCTTCCTATTGTTTAACTATTTATTTATTTATAGTTATATAATTATTCGGGGACGTGACGGGGCGCGGAAGAGTATCCCCGTCACCGTCCCCGTCCCCATCCCCGACGGGGAATTATATATTTTCTCCATCCCCGTCCCCGTTCCCCAAAAATTTTTCCATCCCCGTCCCCGTCGAGGAGGGCAAATTGCGATCCCTAGACTGGCTACCTCGACGGTTTTATCGATTGCCCATAGGTCCCATCCGACTACTCGCCAGGCGGCCCCCAAGTCCCATCCGACCGCCCAGCTGGTTACCACAGGTCTTACCTGGCTACACGACTGGCTTAACTGACCATCCTTCCCCTGTCTGCCTTCATCAACAATCCTGCAATACGACTAATCGATTCCATCATCCTGCCCAACCGACTGCTTGCTTACATGTCTCTGCCAGCCTACTTACCCACACTTGATCAACTGTACAATATTCTGATTATTGGTACTTTACCTTCCACACTCGGCCTACCCGCCGACTCTACATATATTTATCTTCCGCTGCCTAGTCTGACTGGGTGTGCACTCATCCCATCATTGCAAATATAGATATAGAACTCCAACCCGGATACAATTTATGTCAAAATCATGTGATGGATTTGTGGGTATAGAGATATATATTAACATATGTTTGACTTTGAGCACTAAAATCCGAGGATGGTGTTTTCTTGCTGACTGTATGTGTCCCTGGTTAGTACAGTTACGGTGGATGGACACTATGGGATTTAAAAAAACAATTCAGATATGGAATTGAAGCAGAATGTTTCACCATTTTGAGTGCGTGCTGCTTCACAAGGCACCTGCCTAAGGTGGGAAGAAAAGGAACTATACATTATATTTAAAAACACAATATAAATATATATTTATAATGGACCACTGATTTTTAGGTACATTTGTAGTGCTTTATATAGAGGTGGCGATGATGATTCACAATCCAATTCATCAAGTAGTCCTGTGCCCTCCACACGCCTTATCTGAGTGTATCACTATTATATTCTCCCTTCTTATTGTCTTTCTTAGCCATAAGGTAAGTCATCACAATCACCATCTTAATTCCAGTTTTATTTATTTTATTTTTTGAGAATATAGTGATGATGTTTTCTTGATCTTTCGAACAATAAAATCTCTCCTGAGGTGGCTAGAATCTAATAATAATGCATTTATATAGGTGAGATAATTTCACTACTAGGAAGAAAAAAATAGCAAGATGGCTATTTGATACATATTTCATATATATATGTGCATGCTTATAATTATGTATATATTTTTTGTGATTGGGTGCAGGAGTATATATACTAGGTGTTGTGACCATGAAGCTGAAAATTCCGAGGTGGGTGGTGTTCCTAGTGGTGTTGTTTTACAGCTTTTCAAACGTTGTTATTGCTACCGCTCCAATTACGGAAGCAACACTTAAACAAGTTGCTGCTTCTCTGCAAATGTATGTTGATGAACTTCCCATATTGCCAAAGCTGTTGGGTTATACTCCGAGTCTGAGAGGACCGAAACCTGCCACACTTACCATTGGGATGTACCAAAAGTTTTGGGTATGTGCATGTACACGTTGTACATTTTTTATATAGTAAAATATTTAAAATTGTGACTAATAATATGTATTTTTAGAAATTTCATCGGGATTTACCTGCAACAAGAATTTTTGCTTATGGAACATCAACATCTAAGGCTACAATACCAGGACCAGTAATCGAGGCGGTTAAAGATGTAACGACTTATGTGACATGGGAAAATCACCTCCCTAAAAGACACATACTTCCATGGGATCCAACCATTGCCGCCGCTATCCCCAAACACGGTGGTGTGCCCACGGTGGTCCACCTCCACGGTGGCATCCACGTGCCGCAGATGGACGGCCACGCCATGGCTTGGTTCACGGCCGGTTTTGGTAAAAGGGGGCCCACTTGGTCACGGAAAACCTACGTGTACCCTAACGTACAACATGCAGGGAACTTGTGGTACCATGACCACGCCCTTGGTTTGACCCGGCTAAACCTCCTAGCCGGTTTGATTGGTCCGTATGTCATCACAGAGCCGGGTTTGGAGTCAAAGTTTAACCTCCCTTCTGGCCCGGAATTCGACCGGCATCTCATGATTTTCGACCGTAGTTTCTACAAAGACGGCTCGTTGTTCTTGAACCGGACCGGAATCAATCCGACGATTCACCCACAATGGCAGCCGGAGTATTTTGGCGATGCTATAATTGTGAACGGCAAAGCGTGGCCGTACCTCCGAGTCCAGCCTAGAAAGTACCGGTTCAGAATCATCAACGCCTCAAACGCTAGATACTTCCGGTTCACCTTAACCAACGGCCTCTCTTTCACGGTGGTCGGCTCCGACACATCGTACCTACCGTCGCCGGTGACGTCGTCAAGTATTACAATCGCACCCGCCGAGATCATGGACGTCGTCGTCGACTTTTCCAAAGCCAAAGCGAGTGAATCAGAGTTAACAAACGACGCACCCTATCCCTACCCTAACGGAAATCCCGTGGATCAGCTGAACAGCAAGATCATGAAGTTCATCATTACTCCCGCCGGCGACCCAACTCCGGCCGAAAAATCCCAAATCCCCCTGACCCTAAAAACCTACGCGGCCGCCACCCCGACGGCCGCCATGGTCCGGAGGTACATAGTGATGTACGAGTACCAAAGCGCGACGGGGAACCCGACGCACCTTTATATCAACGGGAAGAGGCTCACGGACCCGGTGACGGAAACGCCGAAGAGCGGGTCGACGGAGGTGTGGGAGGTGATCAATCTAACCAACGACAACCACCCTCTCCACATCCATTTAGCGGAGTTCCAAGCCGTGAAAATCCAGCGGCTGGTGGATTTGGCGGCGTTCACGACGTGCATGCAGGCCAAGAACGACGCCGCCGCATGCAATGTGGGCAGCCATGCAACCGGGAGCTTGATAGACGTGCCGGCGTACGAGAAGACATGGAAGAACGTGGTGAAGATCCAACCCGGCTACCAAACCACAGTTGTCGTTAAGTTCAACCTCGTAGAAAACGACGCACCTTATCCCTTCGATGCCACGGGCTCTCCGGGGTTTCTCTACCACTGTCACGTAAGTTTCTTCATTCCTTAATTAATCGCCTCTTAATAATCACATTACATTATTATTATTATTGCAGCAATTACTACGTTATCATTTTTTCTTGTCATTTGTACGTTGCCGCAGATTCTTGATCATGAAGACAATGAAATGATTCGCCCCTTCAAGCTGGTGAATTAACGCCGCAGAAATAAATAAATAAAGCAAAGACTTTTCTACTCTTTTTCCCTTTGTGCAATTGTGCAGTGCCCACTCATACGTACTTTGTATTATTCAAATGTAAGATTGTCTGTCGGAAAGAGCCTGTTTTTTTTCTAGATATATTGTAAAATTGTTTGAGCAATAGAATATTTAACAGAATAAAGTCCATGGTTGAGAGCATCGAGTTATGTCCACCACCAAACGTTTGATGAAAGATACCAACATTATATATATATAATTCAGTTCCCATGTGGTTGGGTGTGCCCAGTGGGATGTTAAATCTGAGAGCCATTAATCTTGCTTAAATTAACGTTCAGAATTAACAAAATTTAAAAAATATATAGTGGCAATTTAGTAATTTTTGCATTTATGTCAAATTTAATCTGCGTGGTTTTTATGTTTAAAGTGTGATTTTTGTGCTTAAGGTGCGTGAGTTGTATGTTTAATGTGAATAGTTGTTGAAACTTAAGGTGTGTGGTTTTTGTGCTTAACGTGCGTGGTTTGTGTGCTTAATGTCAATAGTTGTTGAAACTTAAAGTGCGCAAACCTGAAGTTTGTACGTGCAGGTTTGCCTTCTTAAAGGTGCATTGTTTTCCTTCTTAAGGTACGTGATTTGTATGCTTACGGTGCGTGAGTGGTTGAAACTTAAGGTGCACCATTTTAAAATCTTAGGTGCGTGATTTGTGTTCTTAAGGTGCGTGATTTGTGTTCTTAAGGTGCGTGGTTTGTGTACTTAATGTGTGTGGTTTGTATACTTAAGGTGTGCCATGCATTTTCATGCTTAATTATGTGCGCGTTTTTTTTTAAATTTTTTTAATTTTCATTGATTTGAGCCGTTGATCTAGATTTGATCAACGGCTCAGATTAAATCTCACCTCATCTTTCACTCGGGAGACTCTTATATATAGAATCGCACTCACATGTGAATGCTTCGCCCAGGCGTGAAATAGGAATGGATTCTGTGCGTCCACGTGTCCAGATCTAATGGATGAGAAACACTGATTTTTTTTTAAAAAAAAAGCGTGGTGGCATTTTCGTAAATAATTGAACATCGAAGTGCAAGTAAAATGTATTATAGGTGCAATTAAAAATTTACACTGAGCATCAATACTAAGTGCACAAATAGTTATAAGTAGTTGCACCTATAGTTGTAAGTAGTTGCACATATAGTTATAAGTAGTTGCACCTAGGTGCATGAATGTTTGCGAGTGGTTTTCAGGGGTATTACTACCCGCTGAACTCAGATCAATGAATGTTAACAAAGCAAAATTACATGCACTTATAGGTGAAAGTAGGTTCACCTATAGTTATAATTAAGTAGTTGCACATATAGTTATAAATAGTTGCACCTATAGTTATAAGTAGGTGCACCCAGGTGCATGAATGTTTGCGGGAAGTGAATGTTAACAAGGTAAAATTACATGCACTTATAGGTGAAAGTAGGTGCACTTGTAAGTAATTTTACTTGCACTTCGATGTTCAATTATTTACAAAAATGTCACTGCATTTTTTTTAATCTATTAGATCTGGACACGTGTTGCGCGCGGATTCGTTCGCATATTCCCTCCTGGGCACTTATCATTTTATAGGCCTGGGGCGTAGCAACAAAAATGGGCCCTACATAAAATTAATATACATTTTTATAACTAAAATTTAAATTAAATAAGGAAGGGTCACAAAATAGGCTGGTTTATTTTTTTATATTTTTTTTTTTGGCCCTTTCTTATAAATAAATGAAGTCCTATAAAGTATAAGCGCAACCTTTAAAACAAATACTTTAAAATATAACATTTTTATTTCAAATAAGTATGAACGGTGTAACACTAGTTCAATGCAAAAATCACAATTCCTACTGTAAAATATATAATTTTTATTTCAAATAAGTATGAACGGTGTAAATATTAGGCCCTCTAAAAATTGAGGTCGTGTTATTGTCCATCTTGCATGCCCCAAAATCCGGCCATGAAAATACTAATGTCAAATAACTTGAAATAAGATTAAAAAGTTTTTAACTATTTTACATACACATGAAAACAATTCTATATGTTTTCCTAAATCCAAAATAATCAATAACTGCATCAGTGGCTTCATAAATAAACAATTATAGTTTATAAAAACGAATAAACAATTTGAAACCAAATAAGCTTATATGCAATCACACTATTATTATTATAAAAAATATAAAGTAATTATTATTAAAAATTTATAAAACAAAATTTATAAACAAGAACGGCATGAAATCTTAATTATTGAGAACAATAAATCAGAACACTTTAAATGCGATAAAAAATATTCATAATAAAATATGAAACATAATTAATTTGATAAAATAGTTCGAATAGAAAACACATTATAAATCAAATATCTTCTATATTGGTATTATATTTATAAATACTTTTTCTTTTAGTTAGATTAATTTCAAGTTTTTCTAGATTAATTTAAATACGATGACACACAATAGAACTTCTAAACTACATTAACTAGATAATTCATAAAAAAAGTAAACTATCTTTTAGAATATTTTTCATAACTAAACCACAAAATATATTACATGTACATTACTCATTATAAAGTTCAAAAAATAACATGTGTTCTAAATATAAGTTGTAAATTACTCGAATAGAAATTGATTCGAAATTTGATATAAATCACAAATCAATCTATATTATAAATCTCACTATCATTATAGAAAGGTAAAAAAATCACAAATTTACAAATTTAATAAAAAATACAAATTAAAATAGAAATAAATTTCATAAGTTACAATTTTAATACTACATAATAATATATCTAAATTCATCTTCTAACTAGTAAAGAGTGAAAATTTAATATAAATGTACATAAGGGTTCCCACGACCTTTAACATACAAACAAAGAATCTTACCAGTTAAGCTAACTAACACTTTGACAATATTAATGTACATCAAATACCTATACAATAACACTATAGTATAAATAAAATATAGTGGAGTGGGGCAAATTATGTTGTGCATGCATGGTGCACACGGATGCAAAAACGACGTTGTTTTACTTAAATAAAAAAAAATCATTTTCGATTGCCGTTAGTTACTCAAACATATGTTCATAATTTTATAATTTCACATTCTGAATTTATAGTTATGAAATTATGGATGTGTAGTTATGCAATTCTAGAATTATAGTTAAGAAGTTATGGATGTGTAATTATGCATGCAATTCTGAATGTATAGTTATAAAGTTATAATTTCGCATTCTGAATGTATAGTTATGAAGTTATGGATGTATAGTTATACAATTCTGGATTTATAGTTATGGAGTTATGGATTGTAGTTATGCAATTCTGGATGTATAGTTATGAAGTTATGGATGTGTAGTTATGCAATTATGGATTTATAGTTATAAAGTTATGAATGTGTAGTTATGCAATTCTGGATTTATAGTTATGAAGTTATGGATGTGTAGTTATGTAATTATGATTTTTTATTTTTTTTTAAAGTTGGATGTCAAAATGACGTCGTTTTAGCAACCGTGTACACCATGCAAGGTGCACACGCTTACACAGCATAACGCTCCGTGGAGTGGGGTGAGGACCCTTTCAAGCGTGGGCTCTGAGCAAGAGCTTTGCTTAGGGCCGGACTTGCGAATGACGCACCTTAAGTTTCAACAATAAGGCACCTTAACTTGCTTGTACTCCTTTGTGATATAGTGTTTCGTTGTGATTATCCTTTCATCATTCTGTTCTCAATTGTATTGTACGGTATCTCTCTGGTTCCTTGAGTTCATGGATTTCGCAATTCTCGGAGTTTGTTTTCTTCTTTGATTGTTCCAAATGGCGAGCGAGGAAAACCAAGATGTTCCAGCTTAGCCGAGTTTGGCGGATGTTCTAACCGCCATAAATGCTATGAGTATGCGACTAGATGCGTTTGAGGCAGGAGCTTGTGCGGCAGTACCGCAACAACAATTACAACTCACGAACAAGGTCGACCCAAGGGTTCAACATTTGCAACTTGTTCCAAACAATAATGTTGGCAACTTTAAACTTAAGATTCCTTATTTTACTGGCGAACATGGGTCAACAAAGTACATTAATTAGGTCTCTGAAGTTGAATTTATTATTGATGTAAAGGACTATACTGAGCTGTTAAAAATTAGACTTGTTGCTACTTCTTTTAAAGGTTTTGCAATGTCTACCCATTTAGAATCGTAACTGAAATGTCATTACATTACATGGTAGTTGTGCTAAGGGGGAAATTAACAAAAGGAGCAAATTACAATTTTGGTCCTATGACTATAGGGGGTATGTTAATTTGGGTACGTGACTTTTAAAATTAACAATTTAGTCCTTTAACTATCATTTTTTTAGCAGATTTGGTCCTCCCAACCAAATTGCCGGTGGAATTTGGCTGGAAAGACGTTCAACTTTTTAAATCAAATATTGGTGGGGGTAATTCGGTTCAACAATTAAAAAGACCGAATTACCCCCACCAATATTTGATTTAAAAAGTCGAACGTCTTTCCGGTCAAATTCCACCGGCAATTTGGTCGGGAGGACCAAATCTGCTAAAAAAATGATAGTTAAAGGACTAAATTGTTAGTTTTAAAAGTTACGTATCGAAATTAACACACCCTCTATAGTCACAGGACCAAAAGTGTAATTTGCTCTTAACAAAAGTCTTAATATGTAAGTGTATAAACATTCATGACTTTTTGAATTTTCGTATAATAATGAACTCATTAAAAGTATAAATTGAATATTGTCCAACTTTCTTTTTCTCTCAACCTGAAGCACAAAGAATCAATGCTGCTTCCACTGAAACTTAAAAAGGAGTCCAACTTTGGTGTCATTAGACCACAAGGTCTTGGCATGTTCTTTCTTTCTTTCTTTTCTTTTTTTTTTTTTTTGACTCCGTATTTCTTTTTAAAAATAGAAATCTTTTCCCATAGATTCCAAATTAATAACATAGTGTTAGGCTATATAGAGGGTGAAGTCGTATTAGGCACTAAACAAATTAAACCACTTTTTCACTTTCACAACTACAGAAGAGGACAAAAGATATGTTGGTGATATATGCTCACAACTTTGGGCCAAGACCTAAAAGAAAAAGCATTGTAAAAGTGCAACTTTGGTTCAATGGCAGATCTACAATTATATTGTTGCATGATTACAATCTCACTAACAAGAATAAACAATATAATGTAATAGAAACAAATTCGATCACCGTAGTACGTTGCTGTAGAGGAAGAAGCAAGAGGTAGTACTGCTAGCTAGCTAGTCATGGTGATTTGCTAATATATAGCAGAAGAAGAGGTACAATAATATAGGTGTAATGTGATATTTGCAGAGTGAATGATGAAGATTGATCGTAAAATTCTGAGGAGTCAACCGCAAGAGGCATACCGTCGCTGTTGAGGGTGCACGACAAGGGATCAGAGCCGTTGGTGCTCATCATCAGCGCCCTCAGAACTGCAGAGACTGTGTGAATATAACGAGCTCGATTTTTGTTGAGAAGCCATGTTAGACCCATCAGCTGGCAATCTCTGCTGCGCATTTTGCTTCCTCTTTCGTCTGATTTGCTTGTGCTTCTCGTTTCAGACTTGCTAAGCTGCTTAGGGGATGTGAAAACTTGTTAACTCATACCCATCAAACTTCTAAGACAAGACATTTCCTTCGAAGCAAGATTGTTTTATATAATCGTTGTGAAATGATCAGTAATCATATATAAACATGTATGACAAATGTAACAAACATGTTGAGCTTTCTTATATGTGCAACTATTTTTCCACACTCTTGCTATACAACAAACATCCTCAAAAAGGGATATATTTAATCAGTAGAGTTTCTGAAAATTAAAACATCCTTGGAAGTCACCAGCTCAAATCCTTATTCTACTCAAAGGGAAAAAACATCCTCTCCACTAGGTGTAGGGATTTTAAGAATGTGATGTCAGTCCTAGCATGAATCTGCTTAGTGCGATCTTCCTGACACTAATTGTTGGGAAGAGGCCGGTAAAGGGTCAAATCCATCAATTTGGCTAGGGGATTGTTGAGCAAGGTCGGTGAAAGAAAGTCCAAATGTAATGACAGTCAAGGAAATAGATTAGCTATAGTTTTAACGTAATGGTAAATATTTGTTCCTAACAAGTGGTATCAGGTCGGGGAATTGACTAATCCACTACATATATAGTGAAATGGAACCACAAAAGCAATCACTAAACACACCATCTATCTACTTTCTTCTCCATCTTAGTACTCTCCAAAGACTACACCATAATAGGAATTGTAAACAAAATACACTTTCCAAATCATCCAAATTGAATCAGTTTCATATATATGCGATAAAGAAGAGAACTTCAGCAATTGTGGCAAGAAAATGAAACAAAATTAAGTTGCCCCATTACCCACATTTCAAGAATTTCACTTCATTTTCTCTCCCAAAATCCCAAAAGAATACAGAAGGCGTACCAGATACAAGCTATTCAAGCACTTGGAGCAACTGGCAAGGCTAGAATACCCATTTGCAGAAGAACTGAAGCAATCAGTTTCCAGTCTCTTCACACTCTGATGGCCCACCAATTCGCCATGGGAATTCATGGAGAAAGCTTCCGGGCAGCTCAAAGGGTGAAGCCTAATGCCACAGTAGCAGTAAACTACGTCACAGGTCTGGTTGGGCTTCACCAATTCAATGCCTTTATTCCCCAGAGCCTTCTCCAGAGAATCCACGCAGGTCTCGGAGTCATCCGGGAGCACCGGCATGTCAAACGTCGTCGTTCGAGGGATCTTGGAGGTGGCCCTTTGGAGGGCAGTTGTTGAATAGGCGGAGTAGAGCCAGGCCGCGAGTACCGGGCAGCACCGGGTCCGGTGGAGAGGACCCGAATAATCATTCGACCCGCAGGCGGATTTGATCCCGCGGAAGAGCTCCTCCGTGAGGTCCAGCGGGCAGGCGGCGGTGTTGGACTGCTCCGGGAACGCCGGAATCGTTGCGGGCGTTGATGGGGTGGAAAATGAAACGGGTTCTGGATCGGGCAAATCCGGATTGGCAATCGAAACCGGTATGCATAAGCTGGCAAGTGAAAGGAAAGTGAAGGAGAGAAAGAAAACAGAGGAGTGGAACATTGCTTTGAGAGTGAGAGAAGTGGGAATTAAGTTCTCTTTTCCAATTTGGCTAAGAGAAAAAGGAGAAATGGAGAGAAGTTGATAGTAAGTTGAGTTGGATATATGGCTTTAATGCATTGCTATTTGCCATTTGCCATTTGCCATTTGGTGGTCACCCTTACTTGAGACCAAGATATTCACAACACTACAACTACAATGCATTATGGTTATCTCCATCATGTGAAATGATATGATTTTTTGTTCTAAGGTGTGTGGATCAGGGTTAGTATTTTTTGTATCAAGTATAATTATTTGCACATAATATTATAATTAAGATAAGTGTTAATAGTATTTGATAGAGATGACCAAGGTTCGTTTCAAACCAAATTGAGGACAATAAAACCTCATTTGTAACTAGCTAGAATGGTCCGAAGGTTTTGGTTATGGTTTGAAGCCAGAATTCATAAGGTTTCGTTCTAAAAGATAAGAATTAGACGGTTCCGGTTCCTAATTGAATTTAAAAAAAAAAAAAAAAAAATTTAAATGTAAATTAAAATTGGTCTTTCCCTTAACGTTGTTTTAGAACTAAATATTTGATCTTAAAATTATTTAGAATTTTTTTTTTTTTTTTAAGTAATGGAAATACGATTTGAAAATTAATTAGAATTTGTAAAGAAAAAAAAGTTCAAACATTTTCTCAAGTTTCTAGTTATGGTTTCTTGTAATTAAGAAATAAGATCAATTTAGAACCAAAATCAAACTATGATCACCTCTACTATATGGTATAACAAAAAAAGTATGGGTGTAATTAATAATTTGGTACAAAAGACGCGAATACCATTTAACACCATTGAAATTCTCAAAATTATATAACTTTTATTCATAATTTAACACTTTCATTCATTGGTTTACAAAAGACAATTTGTTAAACAAGGATGGAATCGGATATGGAGTACAAGAATCCTATGCTCACGGTTTAACATTAGCTCGTCGGTTCATTAAAAATTGTTTACTTTTCAAGTATTTATAGGTAAGAGTATATATATAAAACAATATTTTTCAAAGTGGGGCATAGGAGTTGGATAAAAGTTTGGATGTTTGTTACTCTTAGCCATAGCTTTTAGTATCAGTGGGTCATGAGTGTGCTACAAAAGAAGCAATCCGAACAATATAAAATACTAATTTTATCATGAACAAATCATTCTTGAATAGGGTTGCAGTTTAAATTATCCCATTATTTCTGATTCTCTAACTATAATGAATTTCACAATTGACACATTTTATGCGCTAATTTGGTCACGAATTCAAATTTCACTACAAAAAATTCTAATCAAGTTATGTTGACGACCACTCAGCTCCAATCACCTAACTAACACATATTTGAAGAGCTCGTGCTGATTGGGAAGCTTGCTTGCACTCATTGAGTGCCTTTTTTTTTTTTTTTTCTTTTTTTTTTTTTTTTTTTTGTGAAAAATAAAGAGTTAAGCATATGAATCTCTATCTATCCTCCCTCTTTAGCCACGCCACTCTCTCTTTCTTTCAACACCTAAGTGAAAAAAATCATAAAAAACCTCACTTGAAAGTGCTCTTAGCAGGATCGGTCCTATCAGTTTATAGACTCGGAGAAAATATAAACAAGGTCGCTTAATATATGAAGTTAAAGGGATTATATGGGCTAATTGCAAACAATTAAATGATAATTTTTGAATTTTTTGTATACATATATTTTTTTTTATTTAAAAAAAAACATTTTAGATTATCCTTGGAGTAGTGCACATTCAAACTTTGGACCCTATATATGAAGTTTAATTATAAATTAATTCAATGTTCGCTAATACATATCTATTAACTGAGATAAGTATATCACATGGTTGTAATTGTTAAGTCGATTTAAAATTAATAAACATTTTTTTTGAAGTCATGAATTCAAATATTTGCATATGCAAGCATTTTTTTTTTTTTTTAAATTCATCAAAAAATAAAAAACCAAGCTAGGGGGCCCCTCCCAACGTTGGGCCCAAGACGGGTGCCTATCTCTCCCGCCCTTCGGGCCGGCCCTGGCTCTTAGTATATTACTCCCTCTGTCCCATTTTATCTGTCCTACTTACTATTTATTGGTGAAATCAACTCTTTCTTCTTTGTTTATTTTTTTATGTATTTTTTACTTATTTTTAAATTTGATTTTTTTTTTTTTGTGTTTAATAGTACTTTTTGTGTAGTTTCTAAATATATAAATTTTGTATACTAATACTAAACTTAATATTATGAAAAATTAGATTAAAAATAACTTCAGTCAAGTCTCGTTAACCGAACCAGACACATAAAATGGGGCGAAGGGTCTTTCTTTTATTAAGAATTTTTGTGCAAATATTTGGCTGGTAAGCAATCAAGTCAAAAATGGAGTAGAAAAAACTGCAGTTAGAAGAAGAATTAGAAGAAATAACCAAATGCCTAACTTATTGTTAAATGTTACATACTTTCTTATGTTTTACTCTCACAACGAACCTTAAGGTGGTTCGATACAATTATTACTAGGTTTTGGTCCAATCGACTCATCATTGCATTTCTTTACTTTCCTTCAAGTCCCTAAATAATTGCGGTGAAGATACACAAACCATTGCCATGTTACACACATCCAGTACAAACGACAACCTCAACAACAAAGTTGAGCAGTACAATGCGTGTAAAGAGTTTGAATGTAATTGGCTATATATCAGCATCTCTCTTTCATCTGTTTTAGGGGGGTGTATTCAATCATGACTTTTATAGAGTTTTAAAGAATTTTATGAACTTTAAAAGTTTGGAGGTATTCAATTCAAACTTTTAGAGAGTCTTTAAAAGTTAGGCGGTATTCAATCAAGATTTTTAAAGAGTCTTTAAAAGTCGGGTGGTATTCGATTAAGACTTTTAAAGAGTTTTTAAAAGTCATGTGGTATTCAAAAAGTTATGAACTTTAGTAGACTTTTTAATTTTAAGACTTTTGTAGACTTTTCCTTCTCAAATATAAATAGTTGAAATCCAACCATCAACCCCAAAATTTCAAATTTTCTTTCTAACAACTTTGAATGTTTTCTCTCTCTATTTAAACTTTATTTTTTCTCCCTTCTATAAACCTATCTAAATTCAATAAAATTTTTTTTTTCTTCATTATCCTATATTCATATAAATACTTATATATTTTTATTTTTATTATTTTTATGTTTATATTCGTAATATATATATATATATATATATATATATATATATATATATATATATATATATATATATATATATTTATAACAGGTTACTACGTATTGCGAATTACTATACGCAACAACAATTTGGAGTTGCAAACAGTAGCACCTTGTTGTTGTTTGCAGTCTCAAATTGCTATTGCAAATAATAGTTCTTTGCGTGATGCCTAGCTAGCAATATATCAAGGATAATTATATATATATATATATATATATATATATATATATATATATATATATATATATATATATATTATTAATATTAGATTTTTATTTTTTTTATTTTATGCAACTTGTAATTATATTTTTAAATATTTTATTTGATCAAGTCTTTTATTATAAATTTTATTGTCCAATATTGTTATGAATTTCTAATGAAATAGTTTTTTTTTGTTGATGTTTATTAATAATATATATAAGTAATTAGCATATAAGTCTCAGCATACTATGTATAAAAATAATAATATTGAGAATGTTGATGTGGGTGAAGAACTATATAATAAGAAGAATTTTATGATATATTATAAATATTTTGTAAGAAAATTGTAAATGATAAGAATCAAAATCATTGAAAGTTTGTAAGGATGTATTCAATTTAGAATTTCAATGACTTTTGTAGACTTTTTAAAATAAAAAGTTGATAAAAGTCTATAAATGTTTTTTATATAGACTTTTATAGAGTCTTATAAAGTTTTAAAAAGTTTTGAACGACTCTATGAAAGTCAATCAAAATTTATTAAAATCTATCATTTTAAAAGTCTTTAAAACTCTACAAAAGTCATGATTGAATACACCCCCTTTAGTTTACTGTCGCTATAAGTCAATACCACCATTATATTTTTACTCGAAAAAAAAACCAACAACGCATACTAACAATAATGAGTTAATTCCATTTTTGGACCTAAAAATATTTTTGGTCCTAAATTTTTAGGTGACAGTTATTTTTTAGTCTTTTTTTTTTTAATCAAAACATCTACTCTTGGTCTTAGTATTTTGTGACATGACCAATTTTGGTCCTTTATCAACAAAAACGTTGAAATTTCGTTAAATAGAATGACATTTTTGATCTTTTTAATACAAAGTGTATTGATCTGTTATATATTTTATGTTTATTTCTTGAAAAAAAATCATAATTGAAGAGCGAAATGCTCTTCTTTTTTTTTCTTTTTTTTTTTTGAAAGAAGCGAAATGCTCTTTTATTTAACGCAATTTCAATAATTTTTTTGATAGAGGACCAAAATTAGTCATGTGACAATAATACTATGACCAAAAAGGGATGTTCTGATAAAAAAAGACTAAAAATGAACTGTCACTTATAAATCTAAGACAAAAAATGGAATTAACTCTAACAATAATAGTAAAATGTGATACCACGCACACATACTAACAATAATAGTAAAATGTAGCCCGCACATGCTTAACTTACTGATTATAGGCAGTATTTGAAGGAACAGACCAATCCTAAAACTTGGCAGCAGTAGTGTGGGGCCTATGTTCAAAGTGGATATAGATCCCTTGTACGTACACTAGCATTAATTTGGTCGTTTGTCGAGACATTAAATTACCGTAATTTATATCATCTCAAATATTTTTTGGATCGAGATGTGAGGAGCCTTTGGATTGGAGATTTAACCTTGGAGAAGTATAATAGTAAAATGTTGAGGTTTGTAGTAGAACGAGAAATAAAACAAGAGTCTGTCTCAGATAGCAACATGTAAAGGAGAGGAGGGAAAACACCAAAAAAACAGCTTCATGCATGGGAAATGGACATCATTTGGGAAACACATCACGTGTATCTTCATCCGATCTACTGCTATTATTCACACACCTATCTACATGCATCTTGTATGTATTTTCCTACTAGCTAGCTTGCCCACCTCTAGTTTTTCATCTCTCTCTCTGTCTCTCTCTCTAGCATAGCTTGATGCATTATTGTTTACATCATAATCGAAAGATTCTAC